CGCGCGCGCTTAAATGGCTTTTTTTTTCATTGCTAGCGAAAAAATCTTGGAATTTCTTGTGTTTTGATTTAAAAAGAGCCCTATATATCACAAATTTTGTTAAAGTTATGATTAATTGGTAACAGAACTTTGTGTCCTCCAATTCGGTCTGTAATCATACTCGTGATTAAAAAAATCGGACTCCCGCTACGCGGTCGTCTGATTTTGTTAATCACTCGTATGATTACAGACCGAATTGGACTCCACTCAGTCCTGTTACCATTACTTATTATTATTATTATTATTAATAAGTCACTAAAATTATACTGACTTACATATTCTATCCAGTAACATGCAATGAAAATTCTGTTTTTCTTTATTTTCTCTTTGTAATTTTTAACTGTTAATTTCAAACATGGTAATAATATTTCACTGTTTTGTAAAGTCACCTCAACTCCCACCCTCAACAACCTTTGCTAATGTAGAAAATGAAACTTTTGTCTGTAAAACAAAATGGACATTTTGTTGTATTGTTGTTTTTGTTTTTAAAATATCTAGCTTACCATGGAATAACCATAAACCAGAATTTTCTTTTCAGATTTGTCATGCTGTATCCGGCCTCCACCAACACAGTCTGACTGCAATCCCATTCTTTCAATATCTTTCTCTACTCTATCATATATATCAGCTGTCAATTGCAAAGAAATAAATTCATTATCAAACCTCTTGTACACACCCAAAGAATTATTGAAAAGGAGCAAGTATAGAGATTTTGTGAGGAAAAAAACAAAAAAGAAGGTCGTAAATAGGGGAAAATCAAAATTGACTTTCCAGAAAGTGATTGAGTCCCTTTATTATGGGAATGTAGAAAAGAACAATATAAAATACAATATTTATAAGAGTGACTGTAAGTAGAGCTGTGTACTTATGAGAGAGTCCATAAGGAGAGCTCTGACTAGAAACTTTTTCACTTTATTCCTGTAGTTGTAACATTCATTTGAGCAGTGAAAGCTCCAAAAAGTAGCCATCAATTTCTTATACTGCTAGTGGTCCCTTACTTAGGGTCATATCAAACCTTGAATTCCTGCTTGCCCTTTAAAGAAGCAGCTTGAGTGTTTTGCTTGCCCGGGGTATTGCTTTCTCGATTTAGTTGTAAGATGAATTGCCTGGACCTCTGTCCATAAGGCATATATTTGGTGGTGGACAAAACTGTTTATTGTTGTTTCGCCCATGAGTAGTTTCGCTAACATCCTGTTCGCTAATATTTTAAGTCATGTTTAAGCTTTTGGCTGATCAGTGGCTTAAAGATTGAGGTATATAATGTGTATGGGACTTTTTCGTGATGTGGCTGAAAGAATAAGGTATATACATGTGTAGTCCTTGTTTCGTTTTTAAGTGGACCGACTTGTGACTTTAGTGAGCAGGCTGTTGGCGAAACAACTCAAGGGTGAAATGACTGGTCACCGACAAAACATTGACCCCGAGTCCATGGACTACCCCTATGGACTACCCATATGGGCTACCAAACTAGAGCAGCATAGTCCATTTTAGGGTGATTAGCAGGCCCGTAGGGTGGATTCTGTTGAGGGGGGTTCTTTTATGTTTTGGGAGGTATTTTTTAGCGCCAGAGGCGCGAGCCTCTAGGGGGGTCTGGGGGCATGCCCCCCCATGAAATTTTGCAAATTTAGGAAAACGACCGGTTTCAATAGACCGGCGAAATTTCTCATTTTATTAAAGCACTGAGGTTACGATAACTTCGAGTTAAACTGATTTCACGGGTTGTCAAAGAGACGAGCGATTCCCTTTTCCCAGGTGAGCGCCGACTCATTTCGCTTCAATATTCAGAAATGCTCTCGATCTCTTTACGCTTTCATTGCCTTTCGCCTGACATGTTTTGCATGGCGTTTAATCATGCAAAACCTCCACGAAACATCCACGCAGCGCGGGAGGTAACTTTATCCCGATTCTAAAAATAACTCGAGACGAATTACCTATGGAATAGTGTGCTGTATGGGGGATGCCTTCTCTGTCCCCTTTATCCTCTCTTACTGCACATGACATCCCTGACATACCGCCCTCATCGTTTCTAAATTTTTCTACATCTACCCCCTCTTTCATTTTTTTGCGAATAGAAGAGGAGAAGGTGGGAGGTTCGTGCCAAAGGGTCATACAGAAATCGGGGCTGGTTTACAACTTTAAGGGGCAAACTTCCTTTAAGAAGAAGAGCAAAACTTCCCTGAAAATTGCATTAAATTTTGTAAACCAGTCTCTGGTCTTGAGAGTCATTGAATAAGGGAATAGCCTGATTGGTGGAGAATACAGAAACTCTCTCCTTCCATTTTTATCCTTCCCCTTAATTTCATGCTTTTTATGTATCACCATTTGCAGAAATTTGTACAACGGCGTTACGAGGTTTGTTTCTTTAATAATGAATACACCAGTAGGGTAAAACCTAATTATTATTTTTAAAGAAATTTTTGGAGGCTGAATAGTATCTTTTCATGAACATTCGAAAGATCAGACCCATCCGTTGCCGGAACTCTAAATGGTCACATGAAGAGAATTTATGATCAGGGTAGGAAGCAGAGACAAGTCAAGCTGAAGACCACCAATGACACCAACGTGTACTGTACTTACTAAGCTAGACTTCGTAATGGCTGAGAGAAAAATTCTCAAATGATGCGCATTCTTTGGTAATGCGCGCGCAGGAGCCTTTTACCAAATGAATCAAATCACTGCTCCTGGCACGCGCTATCGAGCTATTATGACGTACGGCATAGTTTTCAATGACCAAAAATGGATCCTGATAAAGGTAAGTAAGTTCCTTGAAGAATAACTGTTAAAAGGACCACAGCATATGCCCCATGTAGTGAAAGTGATAACCGCCGCCTGGTTAGCTCAGATTATGGTAAAATCGTTCTGAGGCTAACCAAACTAAAAATACAGTTCTAGGAGACTTGTCCACCACATTATAACCACTCAAAGGCAGTGTTTTCAACCAAACACATGCGGGCGATTGCCAGAAGGACTTTTGAATGCTAATCAAAATTGGACTCTTGCTGAAAGACAGATATTTAGACAGATTCTTGGTACCTTTTAGACGCGGAAGGGGAAACTACGAAGCGGAACGGAAACAGCACGCAAATGTGCAAAGCGCAAGTAAGTCATACAAACTTTGACACCAAAAAGTAAATGAGAGAAGAATTAGCGAGCCTTGAGACATTTCTATAAAGGCATCATAAGCTTTAAATTAAACTCAGTATTTCAGGGGAAATTTTGGCACGACTAGACGCTCTTGCCGTAGGCGGTCTGCAAATTATAGTCATCTCTCACGTTGCAGATCCCTCTCCATTTTGAACAATTAACCCCAAATCCCCCACAAAAATCAATAGTACAGGCGTTCGCATATTGACTGAAAAAATCCCGCTAAAATGGATTCTCGCAATTCAAATTATTTATTAACTCGCTACCCGAGGGTATCCGTAGTAATGGCAAATCATGACCGCACTGGATTGGCGGTTAAAAATGAAAAAATGGCTAAAATGTTCCCGTATTCATTCATGTAAGAACGAGACCTTCTGTTTCTGGAAAGCAATGTACAAAATAGTTTACTGGGGTCATTTAAATCAGGCTCAGATAGACTTCCCCCTCTAGAGGGTAGAACTGGATGAACAATATAAAAAGGACCTTTAAGAGAACAAGAGTGTCATGATAAAAAAAGGGCGTGTCGCTAACTTTACTGAACTCATCCGTGGGCTCACAGCCAATTTTGAAAGTCTACCCGATTGCCACTTTTTCTTTCATTTTTTTTTCCAGTTAGTGGACGTCCCTCTTGTTAACTCAGCGGGTAAAATGCTGTTACCACCAGCTGAATTAGGAAAAGGATGCCCCACCCCTGTTTACGCCAATCCTCGCCAGGTTCTACGAATCCTCAAACGAAGGGAAGCCAAAAAGAGGCTTGCTCGTTCAGGAAAACTGAAAAACCGGGCCAAACGAGTATGTATGGCAGTTCAGTAGATTTTTCGTTTATTCCAGACGTGCTGACTGGACATATTGTTCCAACCTAGACTAGATTATCATGTTAATCCAACTGTAATCAACTTCTGATTAATTGATGGGAGAATTCACACTCAATACTGCCTGAAAGGCTTAAGTTTTAAGTTAAGTCCAGGGTCGGCTTACGTGCACGCTACGATTTATCGCGCGAATTTTCCAACGTAACAATAAAAAATCACCTGTTTTGGTCCTGTTGTTGCCCGATTTTAGGCCGATTTGAGATTGTTCCTTTCCGTCTTCCAAACTGAGTAACTAGTCACGTTGTCTCCAAATTTATAGGATAAAAAGAGAGCTGGAAATCAAGATGGTAAAACGGAGAGTGACGGAGCGAGTCCTAAAAAGTCTGGTGAGCACTTGAAAGAGACGCAGAAAAATTGACTCCGGTAGCCTGGAACCTGTCACTGCAAGTTAAAGAGTGTATTTCTGTCCAATGTAAATTTAATATTGAATGTATAAGCAGTAAAGAAATTTCCAGTTGAGATTATTATTATTACTCATTCATAGACCATCTGCCAAACTGCACTGCTGCTGTAATCAACCACACTACTCGTAATTCAGACCGTTGAGATGATACTGAAACTTCCTTCCGTCGACGATTTGAAAACAGTTCCTTTCTATACCGAGATACACAGAATCCGTTCAAAACCAGACGCAAAACAGAAGAGCTAGACTAAACTCCGATTCTAGACTGCAAAACAGTCCGTATTTTTGCGTATTCAAGTAAGCGCGAGTAGTCAAGCAAAAGGTCTGGAACGAGGCTGAAAACGGAGAGTGAGACTGGGGAGAGAAGGTTTTTTTCTCCAGCCTCACTCTCCGGCGATCCGGCGAGTGTCTGGCTTGCTGTGGGCGAATCATCATTTTTCCTTTACCGGTTGCCTGTCTGCCACATATTTCTTAAATGCGATGAAATGCGTTTAACCGCGGGCTTTTATTGTGGAGCATTGCATATTTTTACTACAAAATCCTACAAAAGTAAAGCAGTGACCACATACGATCATAGACTGCTTTTTATTTCATATTATATCTTGGTCTTGCTTGACTTCAAACATATTTAACATTAATTATATGTAAATTGTTCATGGATATTAGACTAACTCAAACCAGTATTGCCACAAACAAATGCTCGTTTATACAGTCATGTAAATGAGACCTCTTTTTCTGTATCTTTGTTTATAAGACGTAACCATTTTAATTCTCTTCGACTTGTCTAACCTCCGAAATTTTTAACGCAATCTATTCAATGCTATATTACAAGCAAAGATTTTAGAACCAAATTTTAGGAGCAGTGTTCTTTCTTCTTCCCTGTCGTTTGTAAGAGTAAGAAGTTCAATTGCAGCAGCTGAAGAAGGGATGATCGATGTCTGAGCTGCCGGCTTTTGACCGATTGGCTGTCGTAGGTTCCAAGCTACAGCTCCGTAAGATGCTAGCATGACCAAGTAGGGTAGGACATAATTCAGGGTGAATAACACGAGAGAATAGGCATAGACATTCCCAACAGGATGCAATTCACAATGGCCACCTACGAACCTGTTTCGGATGAATATGGGCACAAAGACAGCAGCAGGAACAAGCCATAAACAGGAAAAGATCAGAATCTTTAATTTCCTGTATGTGCGTGGTCTTTCGACTGGGTTGATGAGAACCCGGTAGCGGTAGAATGCGAGAGCGGCAAGAGAATAAGGTACTACCATCCTTGAAACATCTACGAGGGGACTCGCAACACACCAGATATCGTGCACGATACTATCTCTGTGTCCACCGTCATATTGCCAAATCAGCAAGAACAGTACACAATGGCCATTGGGGATTTCAGCAAACGCCATGTTGGCAACGAGATGAAATGAAAATGGATTACGTAGAGGCGTCTTCCATGTTACTTTGCAAACTAAGTAATTACCGATCAAACCCGCTATGATGATCACCGTGAAACAAGAAAAACGAAATACACGCAATGGTGTTGTTTCTTTATACTGCACAACTCCATAGTACTCTTAAGAAGTTTCATTTGTAAAAGTAGTCGTGTTACTCAACGATGTCATCGCGTTCACCGTTCAAGTTTTACTTCGTATTCTCCGACCTAGTGGACAAAAAGAAGACTTAAAACCATTCTATTCGCAATTCCTAGCACGAATTTCAGACGATTACTTCGAGTGGTTTTTACTCCCTCAGTAACTAGCCAAATACGCAGCTGTCCGTATTTTTTATCAGCATACATAAACAGTGTGCTTGAGACTTACGAATTTTTATTTCCCTAATCGACACTTAGATTACTTTCATCAAAAAAACCTCATAATGTGACACAAACCGAGCGTTTCTCAAATTGCGCACATAATAATCATTACCGATGTGCACTTTCACCATCCGTTGACTGTCATTAATAGACGTTTTAATATGCGATGACCATCCATGCAGCCACTTACATAACTACACTGTTGCAATAATCACGTTGTCATGAAAACAGAAAAATGGAAAAGACCCAAATAAGAGTTAATTACCCTGGCTTTCAGCAGTGCATCGTTTTAGCTCGAATTTAAACAACTTATGTCCTCCCTCTATTAACCAGCAATTTGCTGTGGGAGAACAAAAATGGTTCCTGTGCCTTTTAATTCTAATTTGGCTTATTTCATTTTCTTTTTTCCTTTTTCCTTTTCTTTTTCCTTTAAATATATACCTTAAAATGCCCAAGCGTGAGGTGGCTACATATAGGCAAAGTTTACTGACTTTTGCGTTTTCATGACCGAGAGGAAGACGAAATAATTGAAGAAAGAGGCCAATATGCAGCTATCTTGACCGAATAAACCTTGCCAGTTTATCCGCCACAACGCGAAGTCTCGACCACGTAAGATACACTGCTGACCCATTTTGCCCGCTCGGTAGCCAATCAGAAAAAAAGCGTGAGATTCGCTTCATCTTGCAAGCTTACGAAGCCAGCCATGCAATAGAAATCTAATACAGTTCCTGTCAGAGGTCTTCTAATTCAAGGAACAACGAACAAACTTTAAAAAACACCTTAATGAAGACAGGTGGCAGTCAACAAATAACTCACCTTTCCCGACGTAATCGCGCAGAATGGCTAATTTGTTCTCGGGGCATTTACTTACAGTCGAGCTAGAAACATAGGCATAGAAACATAATGGCCGAATTTAAAGTTTAAATTCGGTCCTTAGAAAACTCAAAACATTCCGAGCTTACAATGAAAGGTCATGAAATGATACACCCCTAATAATATGTTCGTCAATAATTTCAGTGTTCAAATGACCTGTAATTTCAGCGTTCTTGCTATTTCTAATTACTACTGACAGGAGCCCATGATATTTGATGGGCTCCTGAAACTGACAGGAGCCCATCAAATGGAGCCTCCATCTCCCATACATGCCCTTGGAGTCAACCCTTTCCCGAGTAGATTTATAATTAGAACGGTTCCCAGAGGAGACTTCGCGCGCCGACGGTGGTAAGAGCCAATCACAACGACGAAATGACACTGCTATTGTACATCATCAAACAACAGGAAATTCGGTGTTGACAGGCCAAACACAATCATAAGCTAAACGTGACTTTAGCGTTTTCATCCCTCAGAGATTTTCTTTCTTTTCTTTCTAGCGGGTAAATTATATTGTATTTTCCGGAGTAACTTTTTCTTTCAAGAAAGAACAGTTGTCACAAGTTCTATTAAGGTTATACTGTCACTGCTAGAAGTTATCCTTATCACTTTGTTATCGTTTTTGCCCTGCTGTGCTATTACGCTTACTTTACAAAAGGTCTGACAGTGTCTACACATATATCTAATAAATAAAATCTACTGTTGTTCAATTTCTTTTATCATTTGTGACTAGTAGCCTTCATTGGAGAATGTTATACTTGTATAGTCTGGATAGGCCTTCTTGAGTTTATCCACTGTAATGGAATGATCTGCTCTACCAAATCCCTTAAAACAAAATGAATGGAGGCTGATCAGCTATGACAGGGCTATACTTGTACAAATCACAAACTAATGGGAAATGCGTTTCAGCTGGCTTTGAAAAATATCTTTACCTTCAAACAGATCAAAGGCAGTTGTGTATTACTTCTGAGAACAGTTTGTTCATTTGGTTAAAATTTTGATACAGCATGCATGTCAAAGTAATCATTTGTTACTACACATGCATGAGTCAGCATCCCAAAAAGTTTACCGTTTTCCCACTCCACTCATACAAATTTTACCTATTGATGTATTATTAATGTCAGCCAAGTCTATTTTAAATATCTTATTCAAAATAACTGCACGTTTTAGGAATTATCAAGTTTTTGTGTATTTATAAGAATTTTAGTGAAATGTAGTCTTTTAGATTGGAAGCATTGTTCTAGGTTAAGTATTTGTGGTTATCTTAATGTCCTTGGAGAAATTTCAATATATTTCACAGCAACATTGTCGCCTACGCCTTTTTTCGACAGAGCACTTTTATTTATTTCATGGAGGCTGCATGGCCAAGTGGTTAAAGCACTGGACTTGCAATTTGGTGGCCCCGAGTTCAAGTCCTGCTCTGACTGCTAGCTGNATGGAGCCTCCATCTCCCATACATGCCCTTGGAGTCAACCCTTTCCCGAGTAGATTTATAATTAGAACGGTTCCCAGAGGAGACTTCGCGCGCCGACGGTGGTAAGAGCCAATCACAACGACGAAATGACACTGCTATTGTACATCATCAAACAACAGGAAATTCGGTGTTGACAGGCCAAACACAATCATAAGCTAAACGTGACTTTAGCGTTTTCATCCCTCAGAGATTTTCTTTCTTTTCTTTCTAGCGGGTAAATTATATTGTATTTTCCGGAGTAACTTTTTCTTTCAAGAAAGAACAGTTGTCACAAGTTCTATTAAGGTTATACTGTCACTGCTAGAAGTTATCCTTATCACTTTGTTATCGTTTTTGCCCTGCTGTGCTATTACGCTTACTTTACAAAAGGTCTGACAGTGTCTACACATATATCTAATAAATAAAATCTACTGTTGTTCAATTTCTTTTATCATTTGTGACTAGTAGCCTTCATTGGAGAATGTTATACTTGTATAGTCTGGATAGGCCTTCTTGAGTTTATCCACTGTAATGGAATGATCTGCTCTACCAAATCCCTTAAAACAAAATGAATGGAGGCTGATCAGCTATGACAGGGCTATACTTGTACAAATCACAAACTAATGGGAAATGCGTTTCAGCTGGCTTTGAAAAATATCTTTACCTTCAAACAGATCAAAGGCAGTTGTGTATTACTTCTGAGAACAGTTTGTTCATTTGGTTAAAATTTTGATACAGCATGCATGTCAAAGTAATCATTTGTTACTACACATGCATGAGTCAGCATCCCAAAAAGTTTACCGTTTTCCCACTCCACTCATACAAATTTTACCTATTGATGTATTATTAATGTCAGCCAAGTCTATTTTAAATATCTTATTCAAAATAACTGCACGTTTTAGGAATTATCAAGTTTTTGTGTATTTATAAGAATTTTAGTGAAATGTAGTCTTTTAGATTGGAAGCATTGTTCTAGGTTAAGTATTTGTGGTTATCTTAATGTCCTTGGAGAAATTTCAATATATTTCACAGCAACATTGTCGCCTACGCCTTTTTTCGACAGAGCACTTTTATTTATTTCATGGAGGCTGCATGGCCAAGTGGTTAAAGCACTGGACTTGCAATTTGGTGGCCCCGAGTTCAAGTCCTGCTCTGACTGCTAGCTGGATTTGTTCTCGGTAGTTCCGAGTTCAGATCCTCGGCCATGCTTGTAAAATGCCAGCTGGTTTGCCTCCAGCCAGCTGGGATTCTTAACCCTCTTAAGTCCAAATATTGTTTGTTTCAGGCATTTGCTCAGCCCACTAGAATTAGTGCTATAAATACTGCTAAGGGCAAATTATTATTATTATTATTATTATTATTATTATTATTATTATTATAATCATAACTATAACAAAATTCTCAAATCTGATTGGTTCTCAACTGCCCTGATTTCAGCCTTAATAGGACAGTTTAATAGGACAGACGCGTCATGCCTAAGTAATTGGACAGTACGCGCCATCACGCGCGCGCTTAAATGGCTTTTTTTTTCATTGCTAGCGAAAAAATCTTGGAATTTCTTGTGTTTTGATTTAAAAAGAGCCCTATATATCACAAATTTTGTTAAAGTTATGATTAATTGGTAACAGAACTTTGTGTCCTCCAATTCGGTCTGTAATCATACTCGTGATTAAAAAAATCGGACTCCCGCTACGCGGTCGTCTGATTTTGTTAATCACTCGTATGATTACAGACCGAATTGGACTCCACTCAGTCCTGTTACCATTACT